CAGTTTGGCAAACTGGTTGTTGGAAGAAATCATTAGGGCAGAGAACCGGTTGTTAAATTATTTGAATCCCACCTCTGCCCAAAACGGAGCATGTGGGGGGTGCTGCATGACCCCTCCAGGCTCCGGTTTTTTTCTTCCTGAGCCCCAGGGAAGCCTTCTGAGGCCCAGAAGGCCCCAAAATGGGGGAGGGGGCTGTGCTGCCACAAAAAAGCCACGCCCACCCTGTCACATGACCATGCCCACCTAGCCACACCCCAGAATCGGTGGTTACAAAATTGGAATCCCACCCCTGTTTCCCACCCATGCATATAATCATCATTTCTTTAAGACTTTTTGTAGCAAGACCCAGAGATGGCAGTGTTCGGTTTATCCTCTCCCAGATCCCCCTTGCTCATAGATCCTATCAAAAACCGCTCCACTGAGTTCAGAAGTATGTTCCAGCACTGAAAACTCTGTAGTGTAAACAAGACAGCTTTTGGACCGTCATGCAAGTAAATTATCCAGCAGGGTAAAGGCAAGTAAATTATGCAAGTAAATTATCCAGTAGGGTGTATACTGTTTTCCATTTGAATTCAGACAGCAGGTTATCTAGGAAAAAGCAGGAGTTTTGGAGCATGGAGAATCTATTTTAGGAAGAGACATGTTTAAGGAGATCTGCATAGTGGGATAAAGGGTGACCCCATCAGCCCAAGCAAAACACACCGAATTCGAATGCCGAAACATCTGCTCGACACTGCAGTGTGAAATCCAGAATATCAATTCCACGAGACTGCTAGTGAATCTGGTGGGCCCTGAGAGGCTGGGGAGCAAACTCAGCTTAACAGGAGGCATGAAAGAATTTCACTACCGTTTTCAGAGGGAGCAGGTTTGAAAGAGTTGTCAAAAAGGACCACATCCATATCACAGAGATTGATGTTAAAAGCAACACCCGAGTGTTATGTCTCACCTTTCTTCTTTCCAATAAAGATGAAAGAGAACAAACTCACACAAACACAGGCAGGCAAGCTGACTCGGACTTTACAGAGTTAATCCTTTATACTGATAATGTCCTTGGCAGTCCAACACACTCTGCCTGCCAAGTCCGAAAAGATAACAAGAAAAACTACTCACTGAAGATTCCAAAGCAGACCACAAAAAACAGTCACAACGAAACCTGGAAG